CGTACATCTCTACGCCCACACTACCGTACTTGCTGTCGAACACACGAACTCGACAGTTCTTTTCCTCATGACCTCGCTTGTGACAGTTGCTGCACTCTAGATCCTTCATCGGACACACGTTCGCCCTGTTGCCCTTCTTATGACATCTGTAGCATTCAACTGACTCATCACCCTGGTGCTCGAAACTTCGATCCCATCCGCTCTTCCGTCGCACCTCCCAGGTCACTTTCTCACCAACGGCTACTGCAGGGTAAGCTCTCTCGCTGCCCTTCATACGTAGTCTTTGGCTTGTCTTGCTCCTCGTTATCATCCACTGAAGCAAGTCCTCTAAGTCCGTGAAGTCATCGGCAACCCTATTCTCGTTTAACGGGATCTTGCTCTGCATCAACGACAGTACATAATCGTCCGTCCAATAGCAATGCCAACCCGCGCGCCTACACATTCTTCGAATACTCCGCAAAAGGCCATCCAGCTCTTCATGCAAGGTATACGCGTCATTCGGCCACTGTAACCTGCCCAACTCTCCACTCACTGCCCAACCTCCCGTCGTCGATCAAAACTCTTGTTTCTCGCGACCCAGCCTGCTTGGCATCATCTTTCGGCTTGTAAAACCGAAGCCGTGCTTCTCCGCAACGATATTCAGCTTCGTCGTCGCCCTTGTACTGAGCTACCGCCTCAATCGACCCAATTTGAGTTACCTCCACAGGTTCCCTCCGATGCCGCCACTCTGTTCTGTCGTCAGCAGAACCACGCAGGTCCTCGGTGGCTGAACCCAGGCCGCTGTCGTGCTCGTGGGTGGTAGACCACGCACACGACAAGAGACGATACTCGCCTACGACAGTGTGGTGCGACAGTGTGGTGGAATGGGTGGAGCAGATTTGTTTTATGTGTAAAAAAAGTGGGGCTGACCGGTGTACGGGGGTTATACTATAATTGCCTTCGCGCGAAGGTGGCCGTAATTGACGACCTTGGAAGGCTACATTTGTTCATGGGGGTGGATCCGAAGACCCTCGCGAACAACAACAGCGAGGTGGACGAACGGGGGCGAGTACCAAGAGGTGGACACCTTGGCGCCAAAGAATCCACTCGACGCGTTGGACATAAGGGCAATAACCGGAGTCGACGGAGTCAACGGTACTGCCGATGGAGTCAACGGTACTGCCGCCGACGGAATCAGCCATCGGGATGGACTATACCGTCGCAGTCCTGGCCTTGGAACGCTGGCTTGCCACACACGCCTACTGACCTAGAGAGCTACCAGGTCCGCTGACTTATGTCGACGGACAACGTGCTCTGCGTACGAGAGAATAACGGCACTGCCATGACGGCACTGCCATGACTGCACTGCCATGACTGCACTGCCATGACTGCGCTTAAGTGTCAAGGCGCTTAAGTGTCAAGGCGCTTAAGTCCAAAGCGCTTAAGTTCAACGCCCAGTCAGTCCATATGACAGGTTGGACCGACCAGTCCTCTGGGCCTATTTGAGAGTCTTGGTTGGTTTATTTTGTTTCGTTCGACAGGTGGTTAAGTCGGGTTGGTGATTAAAGTGTTGTTTGTTTCTGTGGGTAATGCGTCTACCAATATAAAGTGTATTTTGGTAGCGTTGTTTAGAACTGGTGTTATTATGAGAGTGTCGGGGTGGAATTGAACTTGGGGTTGACGGATCCCAGGTCGGTCGCGATTTTTCTTTGAGAATGAAACGACCTTCCATGGTGGTTTTTGCGGCGATTTTTTCGCGGACGAAATGAGGACAATTGCTTGGGTGGAATCGAGTCAAGTGAAGAGAGCGGGTTTGTTGGCGGCGGTGCTGAACCGAAACGGTGAGCCGCCTGAGTTTGGCGATTGCATTGCTCGGTGGGGGACGGTGAATTGTGGACGTATGCAGCCGATGGAAGTGTTGATCCTCGCGCGGGAAGAAGACTTTATGAAAGGCAATAAGTTCGATTTGATTCGTGACTCTAAGGCGTTTAAGTTGTTCCGTAAGGCTGGTCTCAACACCTGCAAGACCCATGAAATCCAGGGGGTGGTAGCTGCTGCCTTGATGGATTTCTTGGAAGAAATAAAGCCAAGTGAGCAGGTGAGCAAAGAGTTATGTTTTGAAATATTTTGCCAGAAGTTCAGCGACATTCAGGCGCTCAAGACTAAGAGGAGGCCGTTCTACATTAGCGACTTCCGCCCGTTATACCGGATCCAACTGGACCGGTTGCAGAAGACGTCCCTGGTAAGCAAGTGGGACCCCGTGCTTAAGAGAAGCGTTGAGCAGACTGAATTAGAAGCAGAGCCCTTATTGGGTGAACTAAGCCGACTGGCGCCGTGTTCTCAAGAAAAGTCGTTCTTCATGAGACTGGCCGTGGGCGGCACGGCGGCTGCTTTGACGTACGCCGTCTGCGCCTGGGCCTTTGATGTGTTTAATAATTCGCCCCAGACAGAGACGATACACAGTGTGCCGGACAATGATCTACTTTGCCCCTCGGATGGATTTTTAGATACGGAGCGAGCACAGGCGATAAGCGAAACAAAGGTAAATAACTTTTGGCGAGTCGTGGATCACGCGACGACTCGAGGAATTATTAATCCAGGTATCAACGTGAGTCGGTTGCCCGTGACCGAATTACTAAGCACAGAGGATAGACGTCGGGTGGCGATGTTCCGGAAGGGTATCGATCAGCTCCAACAAATGAATTTGGCGCCCGAGAATAAATATGAGCTGCAGGAACAGAGTCGTGCTTTGGCGGAGACACTATCGGATATTGTGTCATCGCGCGGAATTGATTTACCTAGTCTGGCGTTGTCCGACGATGAGTGCAAGCATGTATTTTGGAAGACCAAGGAGCAGATCTATGAAAACCCCGTGGCGCCTCGAATTCCGGAAAGCGGCAAAGTTGTGTGTCCGGCTGCCGGTACCTACTACGGACAGATCCAGCCTCAATGCTGGTACTTCGGAGACGAACACAGTGCGCCATTCCGTGAAGTCTACTTATCCGTCACCAAGGTGATTAATGGAACACTCAGTCAGTGCGGTGTCTATTTCGATTCACCGGACGAAAAACAACAGGCCCGACACCATAGGATAATGGGCACAATCCCACCGCCAACACCTCTCTTACTACCATTACCTGACGACCAAAATGACTTTTGGAGACCCGAAAAAGATTTGGGCCGACTCGCAGAGGTCTTCGATATGGATCTCAGATGCTCAGGCGTATGCAGCGAACTACCTAATGCCCCAAACTGCTCATATGAAAATACTCTCCCATTACACAACTCATGCTCATGCGATTACAGTCACGCCGAATGTCTCGCAGCCCATCCGGACCATCCAACAGTCCTCATGCACATAGGTGCCGAGTCTGTTGGCGGTTCCATGAGGCATGTATTCAACGGGGCCTTCCATGAAAAGGCCAAGCAATGCATCTGGCGTTGCTTAAAATACAACCCAGCCAAATACAACTACCAATACCACGACCCACTAGTGTGACACACATACCATTTTTGGTTCACACACCGAAAAAAAGCACCAGCATTGAAACAGACAGAGTCTGACCAGACAGAGTCTGATCAGACAGAGTCTGACCAGATAGAGTCTGACCAGACAGAGTTAAACGGCCGTTCCAGATCGACTGGGCACTTTAAGCAAAGAATGGGTTGAAATGACGGTACACCAAAAACGTTGGGTTTAAAACATTGGTTCACACCACAAAGAGCATTAGCAGTAGAGACGATTGAATTAAGGCAGTAGAGAACTAGGGCGCTGACAGGCTGATTTCGTCCAGCCAGTGAACGATTGGTTCCAAGGTTATTTCGAATAGTGAGCAAGGGAAGGGTATTCCATAGTAACCCAAAGTTTCGGGATGGATCACACCCATGACGCCGATACAGACCTGGTCAGATTTATCTTCTTTATTATAAGCCATGATGTCCACTTGTCTCTTCTTCAAAAATGGTCCTTCCCGGTCAATGGGTCTGAGGTAATAATTATGATGAGCTCTTGCGTTTGTAATTTGTGAGTATTCAGCTTTGAAGCCAAGTCTCATAAGAACGTAGTCGAGAAGCCCATGTACATTTTCTAAACAACTCTTGTTTGCGTCGGCCATGAGGGCTGAGAAGTATCGTTTTTGGATCGTGTGATTATCTCTAACAATGGTGGCGGAATTTGGTTCAGTGAATGGTGTAGTGGTGGAGCTGAGTACTTCGCCCATTTCGAAGAGTTTGATAGGAAGATTTTGTGCCTGGTTTGAGCTAAGTGTATTGAGAAGTCCAGGAATTAGGGTGGGGCGGACGATCTCGAATTCTCGCGTCTTAGGCTCTTGAACGATAACGGGTGCCGAGTTGTGGGAGTAGTAGATTTTATTGGTGTCGGTCAAACCATCTGTACGTCGAAGGGCGGCGTAGCAGTCTTTGTGGCTCACCAGTCCGAATGTCAAACACTCTTTCCAACCCGCCTCAGCCACAAGCCGTCGTGTCGTCTCAGTGAGGTTTTGCATCGTCTGGAACTTAACAGCTTGCATCGCATGATAGCCGATGTTATTGTAGCCTATAGCAATTGCAATATCTTCCACAATGTCGCAGGGGTGCAGAATATCCCGCCGTGTGATCGGACATTCAACCGTTATGTACTGGGTATCAGACTTGTTCGATTCCGGTAATACCCGTAAACCCATTTTGGGAAGGACGTCCAGCACCGTCTGCATATCAAGCGTGCTCAGGCCGATAACCTTACGGCAGTAGTCGAGGCTTAACTTGAAACGACTTGTGTTTAGTCGCGGTGTAACTATCTCGTGTGTTACCCACCTGTCGGTCTTGCCTACGTCGGTCTTGCCTACGTCGGTCTTGCCTACGTCGATCTTGCCTACGTCGATCTTGCCTACGTCGGTCTTGCCTACGTCGGTCTTGCCTACGGCGGTCTTGCCTACGGCGGTCTTGCCTACGGCGGTCTCATCTCCTTTTGGGAGCAGTCCGTTGAGGACGCGTGCGTCTAAGCCGGGATGGTCAGGGTCGTAAATGATTGTGACGGGTTCGACAGTGTATGGTGTCGGCATTTTATCGGCCATGAATGCGACGATCTGGTCAAGTACGATTTCGGCCTTGTGATGGTCGGTTGCAGTGATTTCGACGAAGACATTGGTGGTATTTACACCCATTCTACTGAAGTCGGAGTTGATGATAGGTGGCACAGAGGCGACACGACCTTGTCCGTCTTGTACGACAGGGAAGGCGTCCGCGTCGGCGATGATACCAAGATAGGGCTTAAGATAGCTCTCGGCCAGCAGACTCATCATACCCTCACCGTCCACCTCTACCGTCTGATTCAGCGGTCTAAAGTGGAAACCCCCTCGTCTTGGCAGGCAGCCATACTCAAACTCACACCCGGCTAATTGGTCGAGGTCATGAGTACCCATTGACACCAGCGTTCGTCGTCGCGCTAAATTCTGGTGCAATTTATCTTGCAAGTCGATGAACGACGCAAATGTGACACCATCAAAGCTCACCCCTCGGAACACTGCTGCCACACAGTAAGGCCGCAACGGATATGCACTTGCACGCACGCGCACCGTTATTTGACTACCGTTTGTACTTGACTGGATAGAATCGCTGACAACACCCGTGCTAGAGACGTACTTGTACTCCGGAAAGGGCAACACTGTCGGCTCCACGTAACGCACGAAGGCCTCAGCCAACCCCTCCAAACACAACAGATCGTAACGGTTCGCCGGAATGTCCACACGCACCCGCGGACGTATCGCTCCACCCATTGCCACCATACCCGCACCTCCCACTGACGTCTCATCCAACCCGTCATACTCCAACCCGTAGTCGAAAGCCAACTTCTCCAATACATTCACAAAACCGAACAACTCGAACGTCAACGGCAAACCGCTCACGTGCCCCTTCAACCTCTCGTACAACGCCTCCGCATCTACTGTCAAAGTCGGCATCGAATTTTATTTCCCAAGCTTGGGGGTCTACCCAAGCTTGGGGGTTTACCCAAGCTTGGGGGTTTACCCAAGCTTGGGGGTTTGTTCAGGTTTGGGGGTCTGCCCAAGCCGTCATCGCCACCCATTGTCTTTGTGTAAACAGTCCTTTGTAATAACCCCATTACAATAACCCTTTATCTTTCCCGAATTTTGTTTCTTTGTATCCCTCGATGCTTCCCCTCGGGGTCGATGCTTCCCCTCGGGGGTAATAATTATTCCTCCCCATCGACATGGTGTGCTAACCTAGTGAACACTCTGAGGATTCCTCAGCGGGTGTGCCCCAGTGTAGCCTCAGCGGGTGTAGACGACACAGGACTCGGCGGTATTGGGAACACGTCTGAGTAGGCCTGGAGAGCTGACCACAGCTCGAAGTCGTCTCCGTTGTCTCGTCGACACGACCTACCGTCGACACCTGGCATGACGTACTCGGGCAGTTCGACTTCGTCGGTCGGTCGGTCCCTTTGTCGTGTCGCATTTTTCGTAGGTGCGGAATTTCTTGACAAGCACGTTGATGCCGTCTCCACAAGCCAGTCAAAATCTGCTACCCTCCGCGAAGCTGCCCGAGCCACCCGCGTTGTCCGTGTCACCACATGCACGTGTGCCCCATCATCACCACACACGTGCGAACAGGTTAAAAAACTTAGTCATCCACTCTCGGGACCGGCTCTCGCGTTCCACGCGTCTCTTACACGCTGTTTCAGATCGTTGAGGTTTCCGTATTTCCAGCACTCGAATTCGCAAGATTCTAAGGTGTAGTTTTGTCTCTCTAATGAATGTTTATACTCCCGTACCATCTCCTCGCCACTCGTTAGGTAACCTGCTACTTTGCCCCATATAATGTGCTTGCCCGATGGACTTACAGCCTCGCCGCGGAATCCTGCCTCGAAGCAATCGCATGTCGGTCTACGTATCTGACAAGGACTGGTGGAATGGCTACAGCCCTCGTCAGCATACAGACCACTTATCTTAGCCGGCAGCAGTGTCAGTAGGTGCCTTGATTCCCGGTCAATGTCAATTCCGGCCCACTCCGCCAGAACTTGTCCGTGACGGAGACCGTGGAGAGAGGCATCAAAGGATCCGTTGCACTGACAGGAACATCGGGAGGGGTCAGTGTAGTCGATAATCGCCTGCCAGACAGACGGCAAACTCAACTTCCAAGGATATCCGAAGTAATGACACTGCGGATTCTCACCGTTACCGTCAGTGCAAAGTAACGTACCGCCGGTATGGTCACACCCCGACCAATCTAGCTCCTCCCAGCCATTCACGGTTGCGTTGATCATTGATGCCTTCATCTCATCCTCTTGGTGAATTTCCGTGCATAGCTTGGACGGCATTTTCATCTTGGCTAATTCATAAGCAGATGTCCCCGCCGCGTCGTCTCCAGCACGGGCCGATGGTCGTGACCGGCAGGACATCATTCTGTGGGATTCGTCCTCGAAACAGTGATGCGACAGGGCATCCATGTAAGCCGCGGGCCCACGGGCGAACGTGTACGATCTTGTAGGGGCGTATGTGTACGATCTTGTAGGGGCGTATGTGGACGATCTTACAGCGTCACCGCCAGAACGGCCTCTCGAACGGAACAGGTAAACTAGTGCGGGAATCAGTGCGCCACCTCCGAAAATTGCGACGCTTGGGAGAACCCACGGCCGTCGCCAAAACCTTGGCGCCGGCTGGCACTGTCCATCGTTTTTGCCTTCCGCCTCCTGATGGTTCATGGAAGGTCTGTCGTCCTCGACGATGATGTTCCACTTTTCGAACATCAGGGGCTGGCCCACTTCGTCGCTGTCCGTGTTTCCGGAATCGGACTCGGGTGGAACTTTCAGAACATGTACGCCCGTGTCTTCACAGCTGGGCATTACGACGGCGACGAACACCACGGTCTTCTGAAAGTCACCTCCCTTTACCCTAATTAAACCTTTCATGACCACTTCAAAACAATGTTCTTTTTCATAGCAGTCGGGCTCCATCACCAGCGGGCGGTTCGTCGGGCTCCATCACCACCACCCAGACGTAGAGCTCACTCGCCAAGAGAGTCTCGCCATCAGGAGAGCTACTGCAATAAAAAGGGGCACATCAAGGTCGTGTGTCTTTCAAGGAAGATCCAACGTCAAGGAAGATCCAACGTCAGGGACAACCCCATACCGTCCTGCTCAGCTTAAACCCACCCGAGGGCGCTCCTCGTATGTTGCGCTGGACTGCAACTTGACGACATCGTCATCTACGCCGAATGACTAAATTTCCCTTAGCAGACTTGTCAGCAAGGCTGGGTTCACAAGTCGTTATCTCCCTCCAGTTTCACACCACACACTAATTATCAATATTCGGTTCTATACTAAAAATTCAATGTGTTATCGCATCACAGCTTCGCTTGCACCGAGTCAGTTTACTCACACTTCACAGTCAACCTAACAGATGGCTCATCGCCGTGTTTCTCGTCAACAAGCCCCACTTCGCCAGTGTAGAAGTAACCAGGTCTCTGCTCAAACTTGAAAGCGCCTTCCGCCAGAGTCTCATCAAGCTTCAGATGTCTGGCATCGCGCACTTTAATTGTAATTTCGGAGTGGCTGTCATTGGAATCAAAGGTCCAGGTCTCTTCGAAATCTGCGCTGGAGCCAGCGTCCTTGGCAGTCTTGGTGTGCCATGAGTGGAAGGTACCGTAGTGGCATTCAACGTACAAGTCCGACTTGTTGAACAGACCAGTGTGGCCCTGGAACCCAGCAGCAGAATGTACCGTAACAGAAACCTTCATTTTGAATTAAACTTTATGACGTGAAAGGACGATTTGGCAAGGACCAAGTAGACAGAACGATGCGGCCACACACAATTCGCGGTCTCTGAGCTTTCAGCAGGTTATTTTCGGGCATCTCGCTCAGATCCATAATATCAGGAACAAGGCTTCTGACTCGAAGCTTATCAAGGATACTACGTTCTCTATGGCCTGGGCGGCGAGTCGTACCAGTGCTCCATATTTGTTTTGCCTTTCAACAACATCA